GTTCATGAATTGGCAGAATTACTATTGTTAAAATGGCTATATCACCCCAAATCATCTACAGATTCAGCGCAGTCCCCATCATAATACCAACAGCATACTTCACAGAGCTAGAAAAGACAGTCCTAAAGTTCATATGGAAACATAAATGACTTAGAATAGCAATCCTAAGCAACAAGGGTAATGCTGGAGGCATCACAATACTTGGTTTTAAATTATACTACTACAAAGTCCTAGTAACAAAAACAGCACGGTACTGGTACAGAAATAGACATATAAGCCAATGACAGCCATCTGATTCTAGACAAAGAAACCAAAACTATATGTTGGAGAAAAGACATCTTTTTAAACAAAGGATTCTGGGAAAACTGTATATCCACTTGCAGAAAATGGAAACTAGATTCCTATCTCTCTGTACAAAAATCAATTCAAAATTGGTCAGAGACCTAGGTATAAGACATGAAACTTTGAAACTGCTGAAAGAAAACATAGGAGACACTTGAAGCCATAGGCACAGGCAAAGCCTTCCTGAATAGGACTCCAGTAGTGCAGGAAATAATAGCAGGATGGCCAAGGAGACCACAGCAAATTAAAAAGTTTCTGCACAGCAAGGGAAACAATAATCAAAGTGAAGAGACAACCTATGGAATGGGAGAAAATCTTTGCTAGGTACTTTTCCAACAGGGGGTTAATATCTACATGTATAAAAAAACTGAAGAAACAATACCCCCCAAAATCAAATAGCCCAATCAGTAAGTGGGCAAAAAGACTGAACAGACACTTCTTAAAAGATGTACAAGTGGCTCATGGTATATGAAAAGACGTTCAACTTTTTTAGCCATTAGGGAACCACAAAGCAAAACAACACTGAGATTCCCTCACACCCCAGTCAGAATGGCTGTCACTGAGAATACAGAGAACAATAAATGCTGGCCAGGGTGCAGGGAAGGAAAAAGGAATCCTTCCATCCCTCTGGTGGGAATGTAAATTAGTACAGCCATTACAGAAATCAGTATGGAGGTTCTTCAAAAAATTAAAATTAGAACCATTGTGATGCAGCTATACCTTAACACCTTGGCATACATGCAAAGGAATTAAAGCTGGCCTTCCGTAGGGAGACGCGCATACCCATGCTCACTGTGGCACAATTCACGATAGCCACAGTATGGAGCCAGTCTAGTGCCCAGCAGCAGATGAACGGTTAAAAAAAAGTACATATACAGAATGGAGGATCATTCAGCCACAAAAAAGAATGAGATTTTATCATTTGCAGAAAAATGAATGGATCTGGAGCTCATCATGCTGAGTGAAATAAACTAGACTCAGACAAATCTCACACATTCTCTAATATGTGGGATCTAAAAAAGATGATATGGAAGTAGAAGGGAGGCTGTTATTAGACAAGAGGAAAGGAGTAGGAGGGAGAGGGAGGGGAAGAGGGCAGAAGGGTGGATAGTAGGGGACATGAGTATGATCAAAATACATTATACATATCGAACCCCCCAAACATGTGAAACTAGGGGTGATGGAGGCAAGTGATTAAAGTGTGTCAGTCCATGTGCACATCTGCCAAAAGGAGACCATTAATCTGTGTAACCCATGTGCACTGACACAAAAAGGGGAAAGATGTGGATGGTGTCTGTTCAGCGGTGGCTCCCTGAGACCGTCCGAGCTTCCTTTTTGTGCCAGGACTGGGGAGAGAGGGCCCTGTCTCCACCCTCGTGCTCCCTGCTGGGTCCTTGGGGCCACCAGCCTGGAAACCCCCACTTTCTGCCTCCCCAAGTGAGAGCTTGATTGACAGCTGCGATGGGGATCCCCAGCCTGCGTCTGCTGAGACTCCGTGTGCCAGGTGAGGGTGCCTTCGTCAGTCACCAGCAGTCACTGCCCTTGTGGTGTGAGAAGGGAGATGGTGGCACAGCCACTTCCCGGCATGTCACCCAGGCTTCCAGTTCCGGTCACCGTGGCTGATGTAGTGTCAGTGCTCCATCATTCAGCCTGCCAGCAGGTGAGGGAACGTCTCTGTCCGGCTCTGTTGTCAGAGCTCGTTACAGGTGGAGAAGCCTAATCTGATCCCAGCCTGGTGACAGCAGGGGCCGGGGCCAGTGAGGGGCAGTTGCAATGGCCACCCAGAAGTGGAAGCAGAGATCGTTGGTGTCATTGGAGGGTGGCAGCCCAGAGTGTGGCCTTGGGGCAGAGCTGACTCCCTGCAGGGCTCCCCTCTGGGCCTTGAACCTGCTGTCCAAGGGCGTTTTGAATCCTGTAAGGTGATTCCATGATGCCCTCTTGGGTGTGCCCATGCTCTCTGGGCTTTCCCTTAAACAAGCTTTACTTCAGGGGAAAATTCACGCTAAAATGTGCGGAGTTATAGCCGGGCCTGGCGGCTCGCACTGTAATTCAGCTGTTCAGGAAGAGTGCTCACGCGAGCTCAGCCTGGGCAACTTGGGTAGCCACAGTCCCTAAATAAGAAAGGAAAAAGGCTGAGGTCCTGCTCCAAGGCACAGCATTTGCCTCTCATGTGAGAGGCCCTGGGTTCAGTCCCCGGCACTGCAGAAACCACAAACAACAGAGTATGGTTTTGAGAGTTCTGATAAACACATATAGACTCACACCCACCTTCAGGACACAGTGCAATTCTGTCATTGCCCCACATTCTGCCATGACCCCCCTGGGTTCAGCTTCTCTCATCACCTCTGGCTGGTGAGAGCTACCCATCTGTTTCTGTCCTTCCAGTTCCACCATTTCTAGACTGTCACATGAATGGAATCACAGTATGTGTCTGTTGGTATGTGGCTTTGTTCGCTCAGCTCCCTGCCTCAGAGACCTATCCATGACACTGTGTGCCTCAGCAGCTGGGTGCTTTCCACTGTTGAGTAATTCCATCGAATGAAACTTGTTTTATCCTTTCCTAGTTGGACAGTAGTTGGGTTATTTCTAGTTTGGGGTGATTATGAACAAATCTACCATAAAGAACATGAATATTTTCACATGAACATAAAAGTCTTTATTTCTCTTGGGTAAATACCCTGGGGGGGAAATGTTGGGTCATGTGGTAGGGGTGTGTTTAACTTTTTAAGGAACCACCACACCATTTCCCAAAGTGCTGGTGCCATTTTCTATTCCTGCTAACAGTGCTGTGCAGTTCTGGTTGCTCACCCTTCTCGCCAGCACGTAGCATGGCCAGTCTGCAGTTTCAGTCAGACCCCTGGGTGCATGTATTTAGCATTTTCTTGCTGACTAATGATATTCAACATCTCCTGTGCTTGTTCACCATTTGCATATCTTCTCTGGTAAACTGACGGTGTGAATCTTTAACTCACTTTAAAAATTGTGCTGTTTCTTTTATTATTGGGTTTCAAGAGTTCTATTTTTGGATTAAGTTCTTTTATCATCTATATGATTCAAAAATATCTCCTTTTTATGAAAAGAGAATGTTTTTTCAATCTCTGGACAGTGCCCTTCAAAAAGCAAAAGTTCTTGAGTTTGACAAAGTTAAATTTATCAATTTGGCCTTTTATGGATCAGGCTTTTGTGTTTGAGAAAACTTACCCTCCTTAAAGTCACAGTGTTCTTTTTTCTCCTGTGTTTTATTTTATAAATTTAGTAGTTTCTTAGTTGGGGTTTTATATAGGATGTTATGATCCATTTTGAGTTTGTTTTTTTTTTAAGTGGTATGAGGGATTGAACTCAGGGCATTCCAACTAAGCTATATCCCAGCCATTTATACTTTTTTTAAAATTTTGGGTAAGATCTTACTGAGTTGCTCAGGTTGGGGTCTAACTTGTATCCTCCTGCCTCATCTTTCCAGAATGCCAGCATTATGGGTGTGCACCACTGCACCTGGCTTTGAATTTATGTTTTATGAGCTGTCATGTGGACTGAGGGTATTTTTCTCCTCGGTATTCCTCCTTTTCACATGCGGATGTTCAGCTGTTTCCTGCCATTGATCCTGAGGCCATCCTTCCTGCATCTGACCATTCTTGGCAGAGGTTCTTTGACCTTGTCTGTGTGGCTCTGGTCCTGGACTCCCCGCTCGCTTCTGTGGGTCTCTGTGACTCTCCTTGCACCAGTACTGTCCTGGCCACTGCAGTTTCCTTGTAAACCTGGAAATCAGGCAGAAGGGACACCTCACTTCTGAGCATGGGCCTGCTGTCCCCACCCCTTTCCGGATGAGGAAAGCTGTGCCTCCAGAACCCAATAGCGGCTCGGCTTGGGTCCAGGCCCCATCTTTGTGGGCCTGTGCTCTTGGGAATCTGGTTTGGGTTTAACCCTTAACCCTGGTTTTGTCAGTTGTATAGCCCTGGGGAAGTACCTTTACCCCTCTGTGCCTCAATTTCCCTGTCTGCAAAGCAGATGTGATGATGATAGTTGCCGTATAGATCACGGAGAGATGGAGTGAGTCCATGCATCTGATGAAACTGGAAGCTTGTGGTGTTTGAACATCTGTAGCTGGCAGAAATGGCACTTTTACATAGCACCTTACGAGCAGATGTTCCTCACAGCACTGGGTAGAGGGGATGTGCTCTAGAAATGCCTGTCACCATCACCATCCCCACTGTCACTGCTCCTGCCACTCTGTTGCCATGGCATTGTTATCCTCGAAGCTGGTGGCTCTTGAGGCTGCCACTGCCTGCTCCTGTGCCTCTGAGCAGGCAGTCCGTGTCTGTCAAGTCCTTCCTATGGGACAGCTTCTTGCTGAGTCTACAACAAGTGATCAGACTCAGACTGCACTACTGTGGCACTCATGTGTCTGCCTGACACAACAGGTGCATGGAAAGTGTGATGGGAGCCACATGGTGGCAGGACGGACGTGACAGCGCAATGGGTGGGCCTCAGAGGTTGACTGGGAATTTGGAATGGGGTGAATGTGCCAGGTGTGGGTTACAGTTTGTGCAGAGGCTTGGAAGGAAGAACGGACACATTCAGGGTTTGACTCTGGGTGGAGGGCAGGAAGCAGCCCAGGCAGCCAGAAATGGCCCACAAGGAACCATCCTTTCCTTCCACAGGTGGCACTAGTTTACCAAAGCCCCTTGGGGAACCTGAGTGGAAAAGACCCGCCACCTCTGCCTCTGCCATGGCTGCCAAAACCATCATCATAGACCATGGGTCTGGCTTTCTGAAGTCTGGCTGGTCGGGGTGGAACTACCCCCAGCTGATCATTCCAAGCATCGTGAACTACATCCCCTGCCAGGAGAACCCCGGCCCCAGCTACGCCCAGAGACAGGTGAGCCTGGGCATCGACCCCTGCAACCCTGACACCTTCAGCCACCCCATCGAGCGTGGCCACGTCATCAACTGGGAAGGCGTGGAGCACATCTGGACCTGCGTGCTGCAGCACCACAAGGAGGAACTCGAGGACTGTCCTGTGATGCTCACGGACTTCCCGCTGAAGGAGCCTGCAGCCCGCAAGAAGACCCTGGAGGTGAGGCCTTCGGAGGTGGGGGAGGTGGCACTGTGTGTCTGATACAATTGGGCACTGCTATTCAGTTATTTATTTATTTATTTTAAATTTTTTTTTTTTTTAAATTTTTTGGTACCGGGGATCGAACTCGGGTCCTTGTGCTTACAAGGCAAGCGGCGGAACCACTGAGCTAAATCCCCGGCTTGGCACTGCTTTTTAGATAATTACCTTTAGGTAATTGTTGGATGTTTATAGAGGACATAGCATAGGCCCGGCGTGGTGCTAGACTCCTGGAGACAGACAGGAAATTAAAACACTCAGTGGAAAGGGAAGATGCTAGATGCTTGCTCACAGGCTCCATGAATGCTCATAGACTATACCCTGGCCCTCCCACAATTTGCATTCTGGGGAAGACTTAACCAGGAAGAAGTTAACAGATGGGAATCTCAGACAGTGAGCAGTTCTGGAAGTGAAATGAGGTGGGGTGATGGGTACCCGGTGGAGAGGTTGATCAGGGAAGGCTTCTTGGGGGAGGTGATTTCAGCCAGTGACAGTGGAGCCCAGTGACTTGGGGTTAAGGGCCAGAGGCAAGTAGCATGGTGAGGCTGGACCTCACAGGCCTTCTAGGCTGTGGGGAACACCTGAATTTTACTCAGAACCAACAGTTGGCAAACCATCCTTACCCGGGAACTAAATCTGGGCCACCACTTGTTTTTGCAAATAAAGTTTTATTGGAACACAGCTACTCCCACTCATTGACATTGTACCTGTGGCTGCTTCCCCATTTGGTCAGCAGAGTTGAATAGTGATAAAGAATGTCTGATTTGTAAAGTCTGAAATGTTTACTGTTGAGGGTTTTCTAAATGAAATACTTGATGCCTAGTTAGATTTGAATGTTAGATAAATAACAGATAATGTCTTAATATGAGTTTGTCCCAAATGGTACAGGGGGCATACATATACTCAAATACTTGTTGTTTCTCTGAAATTCAAACTCAGCTGGGCATCTTGCATACAGTGGCTAAATGTGGACTTCCTGACTCTGGAGCCTGTTAAGGAAAGTACTTGCCAACCCTGCCCTGCAGGACTGGAAGCTCCTGGAGAGTTGTCAGTGGGGCTTTTCTTGGTAAAAAGAGGATTTGGGCTGCTGTTTTACTGTGGATGGTGGTGGGTAATAAGGTTGGGAATGGAGGGAGCCCCCACTGCAGGGAAGGTGGAGCAACTGGACGGGAAGTACAAGTGGGAGGGAAGGGAGAGGCCAGTGATGTAGAGGACACTGCAGCTTCCCCACACCTGCCGGATCCAGAGTGTGGGTATGTTCCCAGAGTTGGGGATTGGGGAGGGGACTCTGTAGGAATCCACAGTGTGATGGGCAGAGAAGAAAATGGTTCTGGGGACCTTGCCAAACCCTGAATATCAGATTTCCAGTGTTTTTGTGACATGTGGCAGGTTTTATTTAGAGGAGCATATGCAGCTTCTCCTACCAGGCAGCAGTATGTTTTCTTTTTCTCTTTCTACCTCCACTGTTTTCAGCCACAACTGTGAAGCACCTTTTCCTTCTGTACTGGGGATTGGATCCAGGCCTCCCCCTAAGCTGCATCCCCACCTGCTTTTATTTTGAGATAGGGTCTCTCTACGTTACTCAGGCTGGATTCAAACTAGTGACGCTCCTGCCTCAGCCTCCCAGCATGCTGGGATTACAGGCATGCACCCCCAGGCCTGGCTCACTTTCTTCTTTTCTGTGCTCTTCTTCCTTCTTCTGAAGAGGTGGTGGAGGCTGCATATCTGATCTGGCCCTTCTCTCCACTTCCTCTCACTGCTCACATGGCCCTAAGTCCTGGCTCTGTTTCCTGTACCTGCTGGGTCTTCCCACCTTGCCATCACAACAGTCTTCTAAAAGATGATTGCTAACCAAGCTCCCGAAGGTGCCTTCAGCTCTTGTTCCGAATACTCCAGAGCCCCTCCCTGGTTCCCACAGCATGTGTACCCAGGGTCCTGAGCTCAGCCTCCCAGGGGCAGTCCCAGAGTCCCCTGAGAACATAGCTCTGTGCCTTCTCAGGTTGAGAGCAGAGCTCATGTCTTAGACATGGGAGAAACAGCAATTGATTGGAGTCCAGGGTTGGGGAAAATACACTGAATGTCTTCTCCCATGTTGCAGATCATGTTTGAGGTACTGGAAGTGCCGTCTCTGTTCCTGGCTGACCAGCTGGAGATGTCCCTGTATGCCTCAGGACTCCTTACTGGCGTGGTGGTCGACTCGGGCTATGGCCTGACCCAAGTGGAGTCCTTCCTTCTGGGGTGCCCGCTGCCCAACAGCAAGCGGACTCTGGAGTTTGGCAGTGAGGACCTCTCCACTTACCTCTTCAAGAGCATCTTTAAGGAAAAATATGACAAGCACAACCTTTCCCAGATGGACTCTGTGGCCATGATACAGATGAGGAAATGCTATGTGCCAAATAGTCTACAGGAGCCACTAGACTTCAACCAGGACCTGTCCTGTGGCTCCAATGAGGAAAACACCTTCTACCTCCCAGATGGCAGCCCTGTGGAGCTGACACCCCTGGAGCTCATGGCCCCTGAGATGTTCTTTCACCCGCAGGTGTTCGGGCTGCAGGGCCCCAGCATCTCCCAAGCCCTGGTGGATTCCATCGAGTCCTGTGAGGTCCTCTGGCAGAAAATGCTCATGTCCCACGTGGTGCCCTGTGGTGGGAACAGCCTGTACCCTGGCTTCACCGAGCGCCTGTCCCAGGAGCTGAACTCGGGTCACTCTCCCTACGAGGCCACCGTATGGATGAATGAGAAAAGGCACTTCAGCGTGTGGCTGGGTGCCTCGGTGGTGGCCCACCTTTCTAGCTACAGGTCCCAGTGGATGCCCAGGCAGGAGTATCTGGAAAGCATGAGGCTGTGACCCACTGACTGGCTCTTGTCACATGGGCTCAGGGGACTGATTTCAGCCATAGAGTGGGGTGGGGTGCTGGCTGTGGAACCAGGAGGGCCAGAGGGATTGTTTTAGGTTCAAGGTTACATCTTATGCCAAGAGTTGGATCCAAGGAAGGACCAGTGTCGTCCCCAGAATCCCTACATGGTCAGTGCTTCCAGGGGGTGTCTTTAGGGTGAGAGTGGCTGTCTGTCACCTCCCTGCCTGACAGCCATTTGGCTTTCACAGTCATCTTCCTTGGGCTGTCGCATCCTTGGTCATTTGGGTTTTAACTGGGGAAGAGAATGGGACCCTTTGCAAGAGTCCTGATTATTTTTGAGTGGGGGTTGGGAGGGAGGGTGGGGACAGTTGAAGTTTCTAGTCCTTAGACCCTTCGTGGCCAGGGAGAGGCTTTCGGCTACAGGGGACCCGGAGTGCCTTCCCGCCCACATGGGCCTTGTTTTACGTGTGCAAATAAACTTCTCTTTTGGAACCAGTGTTGGCTCCTGTGGTGGCCAGGGCAGGGTGGCAGCCCCTTGGGAGGTGCAGGGGAGTGAGTGTTGGGGAGCCTGGTGGTGGCCTGGGCACAGTGGTCATCACCGAGCAGAATGCATAAGAGTCAGCTGTCCTGTCTTTCTACCACCACATCCCCTCCGTTCATCCTAGGTCTTCAGGCAAGCTTGATTTCTTACTAAGTTAACATGCTTTTGACAAAATGTTATGTTTTGGGGGCTGTGCTAGGCAGTAGGGACTTCGTGGTGAAGGAGCTACATGGGGTTTCTGTCTGCGAGAGTACAGTCCCCTGTGGGACACAGAATGAAATAAATCCAGTCATCCTTCAAGGTCCTGGGAGTGGAGTCTGGACCCCTGTGGGTCCCAAAATCTAAGATGCTGAAGTGCCTGGTATGAAATGGCATAGAGTTGCCTAGCTCCTCCTGTGTCTTTTAAATAATCTCCAGATTACTTCCAGTACCTAAAATGACATGAATGTCTGTAACCAGTTGTGTTGTTTAGAGAATAATAATGACAAGGAAAAAGGTCTGTACATGTTCCGTGCAGAAGCAGTTTCTGAGAAGTGTTTTCAGTCTGTGGTGCTTTGAATCCATGGATGGGTCCTGTGGAGGTGGAGGGCTGGTGGAGCTCTCAGAGGGGAAGAGTGACATGGCCTGGAGGAGGGTGGCTGCTTCCCAGGGCTGGACTGAGAAGGGCTCCCAGGGACGCTGGTAGCAGAGGCCTCTCCTTCCCTGGTGTGTGCTGAGGCTGCACCTCCAAGGCTCTGGCCATTAGAAGGGCTTGGCAAGCTCTGGCCAACCCCATGTGGCCCAGACCCCTAGCTTCTCCATAACTGGTCTGCAGGCTGCAGAAGACCTGGTGGGGCGCAGAAGGCTTGGGGATGCCAGAGCTGCCAATGGAAGGAGCCCAACGAGCTGGATGGGACAGATGCCTTCTGACCCCACTAACCTGCCCCAGACTTGGGCAGGAGGAAGAATCTGTCATGTTCAGCCACTGAGATTGGGGGACTGTTTGTTATAGCAGCTGATCTGCTAATTCTGACTGATAGAGAAAGAGGAACCATCCCTGTTTACATATATTCTGCTGTAAAGTGGCAGGATTGGAGTACAAACCCAGGGATCAGGAGCCAGGTTTGAGCTGTAGGACGGCTTTGTCTCCAGCTGAGCTGCCCGGCCATGTCCTTAGATTCTGGCAGGGAGGGACCTTTCCTTCCTCCAGGGGCTTGGTGTTGAGTGTGCACTAGGAGGAGGGAGGACCACACTGCTGACCTGGAAGTACTGCTGCGATAGGAGAGGTGGTTTCAAGTGTTATAACATGACATCACTCTCCTATTAATCAGGACGATCAATAACGACAGCAGCTCTTGTCCTGTCAGACATTTTGGGGAGAGCAGTGCAAACGGAGTTATGTTTAGTCCTAACACAAACACTGTGAAATGAAGGACATTTGTCCCCATCTGTAAATATGAAACCCAGAGCTAAGAGATGGTGTTAAGTACTTAAGTTCCCATTTAAGCACGACCTCATCATGGATTGTCAAAACAGGATTCAGCTTTCCCAGAAGGCTAGATTAAAAGTGGTAGATACAGAGAGAGATGTATTTCTCTCAGGTAACAGATAAGCAGCCCAGGGGACAGTAACATCTACATCATCAAGGACTCTTTCTGTCTTTCACTTTTTCCACTTTGAGCATATAAGTTTGATGGGGTATGGTCACAAAATGGCTGTGGTGGCTCCAGACATCACACTCAAATTCCCTGGAGGAAAATGAAGGGGGAGGGTGCATGCTATCTGTCTCTCTTTACATTAGGAAAGTATTACCTGGAAGACTTCTCTTTATACCTTATTACTTACAGGTAGCTGAAAGAAGAGATACATAGGTATTGGCTGAGCTGACCCAGGCTTCTGTGCCCTGTCAGCCCTCTGGGCCTGAGAGATAACATGTGGCTTTTCTAAGCTTGAGTGAAAGTTGTTTTGGGGTGGCAATCAAGGTGCTGGCAGCCTGAGCAGTAGTCACTGTGCCTGAGACCCGGTGTTTTCGGACCACCTGAGCATAAAAGGGGGAAGAGGGTGACTTGGAAAGGGGTCTGTGGGAGAGCGGCCTGGAGAAGACATGGACAAGGGTGTTTTCCTTGCTGATTTAGCTCTGGGCGACTGTCATCCCTGCTCTCATGCTCATTTCATTCCAAACATAACATTTAACCTTTCCATTCGAGCGTCAAATCTGACTGCCTGGTGTATAATTACGAACTTTGCTTTGCTTTCTCCCCACCCACCCCCACCCCGAAAGCTTTTAAAACTCCCTGGCTGGGTACCATCTCCTCCGACTCTCCAATTAAATTAAAAATAGCAGCTTCGGGCGGCTGTGTGGGGCCATCAACCTCGCGCGGAGCTGCCGCACACCAGGCCTGGCAGGGTGGCGCATGGTGCCCAGAAGATGCCTGTGGGTTCTGGCACAGCCTGGCAGCTGCTTGGAGCCGGGAGGCTTCCGCTCCACAAGGGGTCTGGGGCTGCCTGCCAGGGTGGCCAGGTGCAGGGGGTGGGAGCCAGGGTCTTGGCAGCTGGGCGGGTGCTGGGTGGGGCTGGCCGAGGGGACAAAAGGAAAGGCCCCAGGCAAGCTGTCCTCTGTCATGCGGAGACAGTATTGCTGGCTTCCGGTGCCAAGGCGAGGGCCTGGCACCCTTGCATTTGGCTCTGTGTGAGGTTTGGATGTCCAAGTTCCCTGACATAACCCTGGCAGAAGCTCTGGGTTCTTCTGATACTGAGAACCAAGTTGGGATGAGCACTGCGCGGATCCCATGCTGGAAGAGATGTGTATGGCCCTGCCCACCGCCAGGGTCCCCTCCCATTGGATGAGCAGATGGTAAATTGGACGAAGGCCAGACTGCCTGGAGTGGAGTGAAATCTGCTCTGCCACTTTCTGGCTCTGCCAGCCTCCCCGAGGCCTCAGTTTCCCCATCTGTAACTGGGGCATACTAAGGATGTCTAGCTTGGGGTCATTTTCATTATCACCATAGGGCTTCAAAGGCTCAACATTTATAAAGCACTTAGCAAGTGCCAGGCACCTAAGAGTCTGTAGGCAGCTTCTTTGTTGACTGGGGTCTTGGGCAGAAATCTGGTTTTTCTGTTCATATTTACTGCTCATGGCAAGTTGGCACCAGGGTGGTAAAATGATAAGACATCTGCACATGCAGGGGTGGGAGGGAGAGAGTGCTGCAGAGAGGCGACAGCCAAAGGGGTCTGAAGAGGAAGGGGTAACTCACCAGGTGAGCAGGACCTTGCACGCTACTCCTTTTGTTAGGAATGCTTGTCCCTGTCATTGCCTTGGACAACCTGGTACATAGATGGAGCACTTGGCATGGCTGGAGAAGGAGGGTGGAAGGGAGTGGGGAGAGATGGAGGAGGAGGCTGGCAGGGCCGCTCTCCAGGGACATCACGTGTTGGAGGGTGAGGCCTGTGCCCTGCGGATGACGGTGCCTGTCAGAATTGTGAGCGGAGTCCCGCTGTCACTTGAAGAATTGGAGCTCTGGGTGCGGCTGGGAGAAGGGCTCAGTGAGGGAACAGAAACCAAACGCACTTCCTGTTAGACCCTAAGCTAAAGGCATGGTGTTGTTGGGGACCCTGCTTCTCTGACATTGGGGGCCAGGAGTTTGGTACTGTCTGTCATCAGCCCGAGGACAAGCCATGCCATGGGGCTCTGTGCTCCTCGCTCCTCCTTTCAGCACTGCAAGGCCTGGACAGCTGCTGGAACTTCCTGCTGCCTTCAGCCTGCTAGGGACCTGTTCCAAGAAGCCACCCATGGTGAGGACCACAGGGCTCTGGCTTTGGAGCCAAACAGAGCCAGGAGGAGTGAGAACCCTTTTTATCAGTCAGTGAATACTCACAAGGCACCTACTCTGTGCCCTGGGCTCTTTTTAAGGCCCTGTTAAATTGAAGAATATTTAGAAAGTGGCTTAGCATGGAGCCTAGCATGTAGTAGGTGCTCAATAATTTTCTGCCCGAGTCACTGCAGCAGAAGGCCTCATGATGCAGGGCCCATGCTCATTCTCGCTGCCAGCACAGCGTCGATTCGCCCTGTCCTTTTGATCACCTCTTCCACTGAATCGTTCTGATCCTGTGATGCCACCACCCTCAGGGATGCTTTGAGTTTAAAGAGGCCCTAAAATCAGAGTGGGAGAGGTGGGTTTCGCTCTTCTCTTTCATTAAGATTGGCGCAGGCCACTTCTGGCTGACTCTGCGGTTCTTTCCTCCACCGTCACCTCCCCTGGGAGAGCACAGAGGGTTCTTAGTCTGCAATCAGGACAATCCTTCAACACTGAGGATGGGATCCAAGCCAAGCCTGCTGAACACCGGCTGTGTGCTGTGGGGAACACGGGGCCTGGTTACCCTCAGATTTGTGGAGGGGTGGGAGCGACCCCAGGGATGTGGGGAGCAGGCACGCACCCCCTCCTCCGTCACCCTGTGCTTCCAGTGTCACCAGCCTCACCCTGGCAGACCCAGCTTCTGAACAGCCACAGGAGCCCTCTTGCAGTGTTCCCGCAGGAGCCGTCGGGCTGGGGGAGAGGGTTGGCCATAATCCGTGTTTAATTTCTCCAGGGCCTCCATTATAAATTCCATAACTCTACCAGTCAAAACATGACTAATTCCTGGGACTGCGGCCCCCACCTGGGAGTAGAAAGCCCGGTGCTGCTTTTGCTGCTTTTTATCACTACTAATAAAGGCTCTGCAGTCAGAATTCAGCTGCTCTGGGTGGTTTTCGCATGCACATGGGCCCCCTCCCCACCCCAGGGCTGCTGTAGAATAAATGCCGGCTTGCTGGGCTGGTTTTCCACTGGCTTTGTAATATTCCCAGCC